GACGACGACGACGACGTCCATCTGCTGCCGCAACTGACAGACGACACCTTCTGGTCTTCGGTGGAGATAGTGGTTTGTGGCTGGCATCCTCCTGTGTGAGCAGCATTTGACTCCATCACGAACCAGTGAGTAGTCTGGGTTTCTACTCGTAATTGCGTAGATTTAAAACGTTTCTTCACATCAGCAAACCATCTTTCCCTTCAAGATGGACGGTGCTGCCGGACATGCCGACACCACGGTCGGCAAGTGCTGCGGCGGTAAGCGTGCCCAGCGTCGTCGTGGTAGTCGGTGGGTGGGTGTGACGGGTGTGTGCGTTTCTCCTCAAACATCAGCGCGGAACTGCTCGCCGGCTGCTCCTGGACCCGCCTGGTCCCCATGCTCGACGACGCACGGCTGTGCCTGCCTCGGCGTGGCCTTTTTCCAAAGCCGCCGCGTCTTAGTCGCAGGTGGAAATGACTGCAGGAGCACCAGGGTTCAATGACTGACTAGGATTGAACCCTGGTGACCTTCATGCCGGTCAGTGGACAGGACTCGTTACGCCCCAATATCTAGATGCGTCGTGGCCCAATTCTCTTGCCGTATTTCAGGAACGACTGCTCCAAGTAGTAAGTAGGTTGTCATCTCATAAAACCTTTTTTACAGTATTTTATTAGTGTTACATCCACAGTATTCTGCAATCCTTCGTGTACTTGGAAGTTACAACTTCACTCGTATGTCTTCTGCTTTTCTGATTTCATAATCACAAGCTGATGCTGAAGTATAGCAGTGCTCTCCAGCCATACCCAGAACCAAGCGAAAGCCCCTTTGCATTGGTAATTTTTGTCGATTTTCCAATAACTTCTTGCTATGCTTTCCACATTTTAGCGCTCTTCCTACAACGACGAATTGTCTTGGGGGAGACAGACCACTTTTCAAAATCGGCAGTATTTCCAAGCTAAAGGATTTGGTGTTACCTACCGCACCTGAGCTAAGCCCCCTGTATACTCCTCAGCTAGCCCAGTTGAGTGATGAAATACACAATGTAAAACTGGAATTGACAATGACTTCTTGTTCCCTTCGCACCTAATTGGAACAATGCAACGGGGATAGATCTTGCCAAGTCCGACGACGCTCTTTGTGTTTTCTTTGGAAAGATGATGCATATCTTTATCATCACCCAAGTGGATATCCCGAATGACCGCGAAAAGCCTGCCCCTACAGCGCCTGTTGGAATGCCTTTTCTGTGTACCAATTAGCCATCATGCTTTGGAAATCCACCGCAAATGGCCAACTCAGGCGCGTGGAGTGCACCTTTTAAGATAGTAGCTTAGTCGATGGGCGACGAGTCACTAAGCAAAGCTCACAATAAGAAATTTTGACGTAGACACCACACAAGCCATGGGAAATCGTGCCTCGTCCTATCACCACACGTCCCACACTAGACAACGGCCTTTCCGAATTCTGTAGAATTTGGTGTGGTGGTTTTGGCACGAGGTGGCACGTGTCGGGTGGGGACTGTGTTCTCAGGCAGGTCTGTTGTCAAACCAGCAGTGTGGCGTGACTCGTCGGCGCCGGTCTCCAGAGCAAATCGTTCCGGTTGCAGTAATTTGCTTCGAAGTGACGCGTTGACTCAGCAATCCCAGGTAGCCAATCGCAACCGTCACCTTAAAGTACAAACACGCAAATTACTTTGTAATTAGAGAGCTCCATAACCCTTAGGCACAGAGAAGTGGCCTCTTAAAAACATGATTAGAACTTACAAATCAGGCAAAACCACATCTTTGCTAGCTTGGACCCCTCATCAACTGCTAGCCCTCGTGAACCCTCGATCAGACCACGAACGAGGCGAGACAGCGCCTCCCACCCAGCGACCACCTTCAAGCGACCACCGTGGCCGCCGCCACGTGAGCATCACGCAGGGTTGGTGGTAAGGGGCCAGTGCATTGAAAAAAAGCCCGTGACGTCAGCGTCCTGTGCGTCGTCATGTGTGCGTGTAGGTGAGCGCGAGAGCCAAAAATAAGCCCAGATACGCGCTAGCAATTAGCACAGGTAGGTGAACACGCACGTACCGACGCCGAGAACAAGGGGAAATCGACGAAGCAAAGCTCCCTTTAGCGAAAACCACAGAAAATGAGCTTGCGCAAAAACCAAAAAAGAAGCGAACTAGATAAATGGGTTTGTAATATGACCGAAGTGGCCGCTGCTGGCCAAGGCACATACCTGGGCTGCGAGCTCATTTATCAGGCCATCCAGTCAGGGCTGGACCACTTCATCAGGTCAAATCTTCGTCGAAATGTCGCACATCGTCAGCAAAACGACCATTGTCAGAGTGTGCGATTCGTCGTCGTCGTCGTCGTCGTCAAAGATGGCTGCCGATTAGAGTTGTTCGGGGCGGTGACGCCGTTAACCGCGTCAATGGTGGCCACCGACCGATTGTCCTCGGAGTTGCCGCTACGAAGCGAACGTTCCACCATCTTCGTCGTGAACGCCTCCAGAATGTCCGTGTGCTTGGCCATGTCCGTGCCCAAAATGCACCTGAGGAAGCAGAAGGGATCAATCAGGTTACGTGCCTGAGCGTGTTTGCGTGTGTGAGTGGTGGAGTGCGCCACTTGGCACCATGACGCTTTTGAGAGTTATCCAAGGTCGGTTAGCGCCTGTGACTCAATCTCAGCTCTCATTGGTTCGCTGTTTGAGAAGTGGGATCCCACATCTCTCTCCCTCCCTCTCCCCGTTTCGACACTAATGAAACTACTCGTGTCCACATTCCACAATAACCGCCCCAATCCAAGGCATGCATATCAAGCCTACCTAGTTATCAAAAGTAATTTAACAATACTCAGGTCTAACCTTAAACAACTTTGAAATCCAAACAGAGAGAGAGAGAGCAGGAGCGAGTGCAGGAGTGAAGGCTGCGAGAGGAGAATGTGTAGCCATTGACGACCAACGTGGCAGGTGAGATCGACTTGGAGTAGACGACGATGAGGAAGAGCTGTAAATTGGTAAAGAGTGTGCCTAAATTATGCTTACTTTAGTGGCAAACCATGTTTGCTCCAGTTGGAATCATAGTGCGTTCGAATAGGTGCTAAAATATGTCGAAAAAGCGTTGAAAATTAGCTGAAAAATTAATTAAGCAAAATGGGTTGGCCTTGAAAAAATACCTAGAATTGTTTACGTGGCCTAGACTCATGGTGAGTTGGTGAATGACAGGCTGCGGGAAGGGGGTGACGGCTATCCAAGTGGTGAACAAAAACAACTTACCTCGAACGGTGGGGGGCTGTGCACTGGGCCCGGGCTGGGTGGGGGTGGGGGTGCAGTGACTGCGGTGGCTGCGGCTGCGCTGTTTGCCACATCAGTGCGAGGCTTCGCCGCACTGACAGGAAATCGATGCGTCAAAAACAACGGACCACGAAGTGGCGAAAACAACTCACCCCGAACGGGGGCTGTGCATTGGGTCCGGCTGGCTGGCTGGCTGGCTGGGTGGGAGGGTGGG